CCCAAGTAACTTTCTCAAAGTCTGATAGCATGTTGTTACACAGGTTGCTAAATAAAATAGCTAGATAGCTGCCTTCAATCCGAGTCTGTACTAGTTTTCACTGATTTAGTTTTTTCCTTTTGCGTAATTAGGCAATTAAATTACATGCAAACTTTCTCTGATTTATTGTACTTAAGCTTAAGATATTTTAATCGATTGGCACATAATAGGCATGGGAGCTGTTTTTCAGATGATGGGGCATTGCCCACAGGTGAACCACAGGCAGGTGTCCTCTGGCACATGGAGAGGAGGACCAGAAGGGCTACAGAGATGTTACTGGAACCCAATGAGAATTAGAATATTATATGTGAGCAAAGATGAGTGTAGATGCCATGTACCCAGTTTCCATTAACAACACTGTGTTAAACACCATGGTCTAGAAAAGAGAGGCAACCACCACTAGTGTACCCCTGTGCTGGGAAGTCAGTAACCTCTGATGCTGAGGCTTAGTCTACTTGTTGAAACACTTTTTTTTTCTTTATAACTTTACACAGTAGACAAAATGAAAATATAGTGAGAATCGAGCTTGTTCAGCCTGGAGAAGAGAAGGCTCCGGGGAGACCTTATAGCCCCTTCCAGTACCTGAAGGGGCTACAAGGAAGCTGGGGGGGACTTTTTACAAGGACCTGTAGTGACAGGACAGGGGTAATGGGTTTAAATTGAAAGTGGGGAGGTTTAGATTGGATATCAGGAAGAAGTTCTTCCCAGAGAGGGTGGTGAGGCACTGGAACAGGTTGCCCAGAGAAGCTGTGGATGCCCCATCCCTGGACATCATGAAAGCCAGGCTGGATGAGGCTTGGAGCAACCTGGTCTAGTGGAAGGTGTCCCTGCCCATGGCAGGGGGGTTGGAACTAGATGGTCTTTAAGGTCCTTTCCAACCCAAACCATTCTATGATTTGCTAGAGGAAAAATGGAAAATATATGCTTTTCTCTTTTATAAATGAGCTATGAAACAGATTATTTCTTCATATTTCTTCTGTGACAGTGAAATTGGATCAAGAATAAGTCTAGTCTGTAGTAAAATGAATACCTTTGTGATACAGACTGAGGTCATAATCTGATATAATTGAAAGTATGGTGTAGAGTGAACTTGTGTGATGATTATGACCTCAAGCATACATAAGACTTCATTCTAAAAAGACAAGGGGGATTGTAGTTGAAACAAATAATATAACAAATATGCTTCAAATGTAAACATTAATGAATTTATAGAAGACAGTGTGCTTTAGTTTCAGTAGTGGCATAGCTCGGTGTAAAATAATATGCAGGAAGACAGATCATAATATCTTTTTTTTATCATTTCTGTTTAAAATATGATGGTTTAAAACAGTGCGCTCTCACATGCTTGGTAAGCTGACTTCCACCAGGAATAGTTTGGGATCCTCTTTCAGCTCTTAAGTAGTCTGAGTTTTGGACTTGTTATATATGTTTTAACTAGTAAGAATTGTGATTGTTCCTGGACTAAGACAAAGCTTAGTTCTTCGTGAATGGTAGATGAATAAATGTGTGTTTCAGGATGTAAAAAGCACATCTAGAAAACCTTGGTTTTCTTCTACAGTTTTAAGCTATGTTTCAGAAAAATCATGATCCACCTTAGGTTGCTAAAAGCTTAAATTGCATTTATTTTAGTGGGAAAGTGCTTTCCAATGTTGGTTTGGTGAAGTTTGCATTTCTAAAGGACATTGTGTTTCTACTTTTTCCCTGATTAGTTAGCTTTTCTCAAATCTTTGTAACATGTATTTGTTAATAAAGGAAATGGATAATGGATAATATCAGCATTGTGATGTCTGAAACTTGGGAGTGTTTTTCGGCACTTCTGCTGCGTTTACTTTTTCATTGAACAACATGAAATCAGTCATCAGCATCAGTTGTCAGTTCTAAGAAAAACTTTGGTTTTCCTGCATTTCTGGTAGTATCTGTGTGCTTAATGGAAATAACATAATTGGTGCTTAGGTGTTCTTTACCTGTAAAAATTTAATTGCTGAATGGGGAGAACTTCTTATCGCTTCTTTATTTTGAATGAGATGGGGGATTTGTTCTGTTTCTGATTTTTTTGGAGGGTGGGTGGTGGGAAGAAGTGTGATAAGGGAATTTATACAACCAGAAAACTTTTCCGCTCAAACTGAATTATGGATCGTATGTGTGGTGGGGCTGACCCAGGCTGGAGGGCAGGTGCCCACCAAAGCTGCTCTGTCACTGCCCTCCTCAGCTGGGCAGGGGAGAGAAAATACAATGACAGGCTCGTGGGTCGAGATCAGGGCAGGGAGGGATCACTCAGCAATTACCGTCAAGGGCAAAACAGACTGAATCTGGGGAATAAGAATTATCTAATTTATCATCAATCAAATTATAAAAGAACTAAAACCAAATCTTAAAAGACCTTCTTCCCACCCCTCCCTTGTTCCTGGGCTCAACTTCAGTCCCATTTTTCTCTACCTCCTCCCCACAGTGGCGCAGGGGATCAGGGAATGGGGGTTGTAGTCAGTCCATCACACATTGTCTCTGCTGCTCCTTCCTCCTCAGGGGAGGACTCCTCACATTCTGCCCCTGCTCCAGTGTGGGTCCCTCCCATGGGGTGCCGTCCTTCAGGAGCAGCCTGCTCCAGCCTGAGTCCCCCCCGGGGTCACAAGTCCTGCAGCAAACCTGCTCCAGCCTGGGCTCCTCTGCCCATGGGGCCACAGCTCCTGCCAGGAGCCTGCTTCAGCATGGACTGCCCACAGTGTCACAGCCTTCTTCCAGTCCATCTTGGAGCCGGCTGGCATTGCCTCTGTTGGACATAGGGGAAGCTTCCAGCAGCTTTTCTCAGAAGCCACCCCTGTAGCCCCTCCTACTACCAAAACTTTGCCACACAAACACAGTGTGCTTGGTCCAAATAAAGAGCAACGCATTTTTAACTCGCAGTGTCTGTCAGTCCAGTGTCAGGATGGAGGAATTGAATTATTCTGCCTTGACCATAATGACAGAGATCAGTGGGCAGAGAGGAACATTTTATTATCCTATGTACTGAAAAATAACTTGATTAATGTATATATTTGGATAGATTTTTGTTTCTTCTGTAGGTGGTTTGGTTTTTACTATTGCACTCATTAGCACTGTTTTCTGATGTTATAAATTAATCAATATAAGTAGGATGGGGTTTATTTGGGTTTTTTTCTACATTCACTTACCAGATTTGTTAGAATTCTTCCAACTGGGAAAGCATTTGCCCATCAGGAATCTCATTAATAATATAACAGTATCATTTTCTCAAGTAACCTGAGGCCTTCTGGTATTCACATACTTAGGAGAATGGTACCTTTGGGACCTTCAGCTTGCAGGATCTGTAGGAATGCATAAATACCGTAAGACAGCTGAATTATGGGTGTCTGGTGATAACTGTTTTCCGTGTTACTGGGCTTTTGAGTGCCATACAGCAGTCTTGATTCAGGTGAGAACTGTACTCAAGCGCTCCATAGGCTGTGTTACTTGGCAGTGTGCCAGCAAGTAGCAATATATGGGTCTGGTTTGGGAAGGGATATTATTTTAGGAGTGATTGCTCTTTTGTGCTTTTTGTTCCCAAAAACTTTTATTCCTCATTTCTTGTATATTCCACTGGTTTTATATTATTTTTTGACCTGAAAGAATTAAGTCAGGGTATGAACCATCTGTATATAATCTTCAGCCCTGAAATTTTGGCACCACAGAGGGAATCTTTCACAGCCCCAGTTGGAAAGTTCAGTAGTTCATGGTGCAGAGGGGTTATTGCCATAAGTGTGCCTATAGAAAACTTGTATGAAATTAATTATAAATACACCAGGTGTTGGTGTCAGTGTGCTGTCACTGGTCAAGTTCTGCTTCTTACTCATGTTTTTGTATGGAGGCATCTAGAATGAGTTTGGAAAGATGGAAAGATAGATGAGGAAAGGGATGGTTCCATCTCTTCTTTACCAGCTGCACATAACCAGCTCCACAGCAACTGCAGCTGAAAGCAGCAGGAGTCGTCATGCTTTGGTATTAGAATTGTTTTCTCTGCAGGAAACGGTGAACAGTGGAGAGGAGGAGACACTTGTTTTGGTTTCTGTTTATACCCCGAAAGGAGGTGGGCAGGGTCTGATCCTTGACTCCAGTGCTGGGAAGCACAAGATTGGATTGCCACACTGCTTAGGGTTTCCTCCTTCCCTTCCCCACCTTGTGAAACGCATCGGTCCTAGCACATAATTTCTATATATTATTTTCAGTTAACGTATTTCAAATACTACGAGAACTGAATTTCAGCATAGAGTGGAATTTTCACAACACGGAATGGAAGGTACACGTGGCACACAGAGGTAGATGGAGCTAAAACTGATAAGAGTTTTATCAATAGAGCTTTTGAGTCATCCCTTGAATAATTTGTGCCCTCAGTGTGGGTGGGCACTTTCTTAATGATGGGTAATTGGAGCAGCTCTGAAAAGAACAAGGAAGAAGTTACTGGCTGTTAAACCAAGTGGAGGATCAAGGGTCAATATTCAAAGTTGCTTCCTCTAATTTAGCAGTGTAGTCTATGTGGAGATAGTGGAGATCTACTTTGTTCCAGGTTGCTTTGACATCTGTCTTAAATATCTTGTTTGTTTATAAAATACATATTTTAAAGGAGAGGAAAACAGCGTAACAGCAAAATATGCCAAAATCTGCAATTATTTTAAGTTACTACTGGCAGTGTAGTTTTAGCCCCATTACACTGTTTTAGGGGCCCATTGCTGATGATCTCTGTGTCTCCAGTCCTATTAACATCTTGCTTCAACAGATCTAAGGTTTCTGTGAATTTTGCTGGCAGTGTGATTTTAGCAGATAGCCCAAGGGACAATAACAAGACTGCATTGTTGACCAGGATGTTAGTTGGCCTGTTTTTACTACCTTTTCACAGCATATTAAAGTACATTTTGATAGTACATTATTTTCAAAGTCCTGTATTAAACCTTTTCCTTTCTGTTCCCCCTTAGGGTATCACCACTTCAAAAATCTGAAGTTGTAGAAATGGTTAAAAAACAAGTCAAGGTAGTAACTCTAGCAATTGGTGATGGAGCGAATGATGTTAGTATGATACAAACAGCACATGTTGGTGTTGGTATTAGTGGGAATGAGGGTCTTCAGGCTGCTAATTCTTCAGACTACTCAATTGCTCAGGTAAGTCACTAGACTGTAAAATACTACAATGTAGTTTGATATCAGATTCATATTGGCATATGCATGTTCTGATTGTATGTTTGTTCTTTTTTCATATTTTGCAGTTTAAGTATTTGAAGAACTTGTTGTTGGTTCATGGAGCCTGGAATTATAACAGAGTAGCTAAATGCATCTTGTATTGTTTCTACAAGAATATAGTCCTGTATATTATCGAGGTAATTTTATAGTGCAGTAAATGTTTTCTTGAAAGTAAAAGCTTGATCATTTTGAGCTTTTGATTATTATATGTGGTTTTAAAGAAGCATTTAAACTGTCAGTAAACACTTACTAGTGCTGAATCTTGCTAATAAATGGGTTAATATTAGTGATTTTTTTAATACTTTAAAAGACCCAATTGTCTTAAATGTGTACTAAATATTATTATTCAGTGTGTGTGTGTTGCAAAATACTGCTAGCTTATTAAAATTCTGTATCCATAACATCATTACAGTATTACAACATCATTACAATATTTACAGTATTTAAGGAATACAAGTAGCCTTACATTTACCAAGAGATGTATGTGCTTAGGCTCTTTGAGCTGGTGATGGTAACTGTCCAGTTCGCAGTCTGAAGCCCCTTTTCAGGTCAGTGTTGGACTGCAGGGCTGTTGCTGTTCAGAACAGTACTTAGGGTTTGTATATATATGTGTGGCTACACGATTGCATACCGTTCACTTGTTGAGGGGGTAACCGTGCCTCCTTGGGCTCTAGTTCATGAACAGGGATACTGTCAGGAAAGGCAGCTGACCTAGTTTGCTCACCTGGGATTTTAAGGAGATTGGAGTCTTGTAAAAAAAATACAGTAGTATAAGAGAACAGCGTGGTAATAAATGTACATTTATTGATAGGTATGGTTAAGACAGCATGTATAGCTATAATTTTCATGGCCTTCATGACCACACGGCAACCTTAACATTTTGAACGTATTTTTAAATAGATTTTTCCTTCTCCCCTCCACCCCCCTTTATTTACTGTTCCTCTCTTTGTTTCAACAACTGCTTGCTTTCTTATAACCATACATGTATCTCAGAATTATGTTTAGAATTGATTCAAATTTTATATTCACAATAATACTTTGTGCTAAAAATGGGAGGGGGAGGGTGCTGCAAAGCTTGATCACAAAGCAAGTTTTATAGGTCAGTGTTCTGTGTTTTAATAGGGTTAACAGTTATTCTTAAAATTTTCTTAGGTATTTTTACTCTGTTTTCAAATTAATATCTTAAACTTGCACAGTATGTATCTGTATTTTACTGAAATCTGGTTTTTTACTGCCTTATTTCTCCTAGACCTGATGTAAACATTAGGTTAATATTTTTGACTTTGCTATTTGTGTATGTGATCTTACACTGTTGCAATATTTGAAAATACTTTAAACATTTTTATGTACAAGCGTTGTAGCCAAAAAGTGTGTTTTTCTTAGCAGATTGTTTACATTTTCTACATTTTCCCTTTTTTCCCACTTTATTGTGTTAACATAAATAGTTTTCAATCTAAGTCGTAGCAAGTTTGTAGCATCTTTAGAAAAACAAAGTAAACAGCTATGGAAAAAGCAAATCCGTTAAAGATCCTTTTTCCTTTAGAAGTCATGGCATAATTTAGATCCTGCATTTCAAAATCTGACTGTCTACTTATATGATCAGAGTTGCAGAAATACTGATTAGCAGTAGCTCTTGAAGTATCTGAAGAAAAAAAAAAAGTATAGTTTGTGTTTATAGAAAACATGAAAAGTTGGTCTTTAGAACATACTACCGTATTTTTCTTAATTTTCTGTCACTGAGTCCAACAAACACATTATAAATTTATAACTTAAGTCAGATATAAATATCCCACCGTTTGTATTCTCTGTGAAAGGAAATTAAATGCAAGGTACAGAGATCATAATCTAAAAATACAAAAGACTAGAAGAGGTGGTCTCTGCCTCCTGAGTGGATGGAAGGGCAAAGAGATCATTTTTATATGGGTTATGACCCTTTATATATAATGCATACAAGCATTTTACCATGTACACCTTCTCTGGAAGACAAGATGACTTCTACTTGAATTCTGTACAGCCAGCGTTTGGCAGCTCAGAAAACTTTCACAGATGTTAATAGCTCATGTCAATACTGCCAGTGAATGGGCAGAAATTCATCATTGAATGTCTCCAGAAAGGACAACTGCCAGTCTTGAATCTCTCCTTTCAGTTTTTTGTACGGATCAGGCGTGGGAGCAGAGAGCTCAATGAGTATTTGTAAGCTGCTGCTTAATATGCAGAAATGCTACATCAGGAACATGTCTGTGAAGCTTTTGTGGCCACGCCTCCGCTGTCTTGGAGTTTAGAAAATAATACTATGAAAGGCATGTCTGGAAGTTGCTTTAAACAAGTTTCCTTTTATTAGCTGACAGTAACTAAAAATACTTACCTTTACCCAATACATGCATATTATATTTTTAAATGTCTGCTCAGTGCTATTCAAACAAGTAATATAATAGATTCCATTTAATCTAAAATACAGCCTTTCTCCTAGGCATTCATGGGGTGATAGGAAATAAGTGCCATTGGCTTTTTGGTTCAGAAAGTGGTAAAGGTCTGTAGTAATAGCCCTGCACATTGATTAGTGTTTATGAACATTTAAACTCCTGTTCGTAAGTGATCTGTATTAACTTTCTCTACTCTGTGTGCAATAGATATTTAAACACGGACCTTATCTTTTGTATGGAACTAGTCCCAGCAATTTCAGAGGTTATGTTCTAAAGTATTATTCTAGATTGCAAGTGAAAACTCTGAATTTCTAATAGACTGCCAATGTGCATTATTAAGCCTGCACAGAGCCTCACACTTGCATGGAATAAGCCTATGCAGAGGCTCATACTTATTTTGATGAGGCTGTCATTACCTTATAATGGTGATTGGGATTCAGATTGATGTAGTGATTGAGAACTCCTTTGTGGATTGGTTTTGGTTTTATAATTACCATTATTGCATATGCTCTTTTGTTAAACTACTCATTTTGCGAAGTTATGCAAATCTCCCTTCAATATCAGAGGGACAAAATTTCCCTATTCTTCCTTTTTGTTCTGCTAGCTAGTAATATCTAGTAATAACATAAAATAATTGGTTTATGTTAAATAAAAAAGGTTTACAACTTTAAAAAACAATTTTTGAAGTCTGCATAGTTCATTCATGTTTCATGTAAGGGAAAATTCAAATAAAAGAGTAAAAGACCTCACACAAACAGAGTAAACAGATTTATGTTCACATTTGAAGTTCAGCCACAGGTACTTAAACATGGTCATTCATAATAATTTAAGTGATGCTGCATTAAAAAAAAAATCAATTATACTAAGTAATTACAGCCGTAACAACCTCTTTTTGTTCTATAAACTTTGGGTGACAGCTATCTTTTTTTTTCCTCCCGATTTTGTCTTTTCCCCCAAGCTCTTTTCATCCCACTGCCGAGTTACACACCTTCTGCTGCTCCTGTCCACAACTGAAGTTTACCCTTCTCTTCCCAATTTCCTTTGTCTGACACATCGTACGGATGCCTGCGGTCATACTGAGACGCGTATCACGCGTAACCCCAGACATGAGCAGACTTTCAGTGTGTACTCGCACTGCTTCTGAGCTGTAGAGTGTAGGTGCTGTTGTTCAGTATGCAAGCTGCACCGAGTTCGGTTTAAAACGCGGACAGCAGAAAATGATTGTGCTCGTGCCCACTTGTCTTGCATTATGTGGTTTGAAAACTTAGAAGTGCAAGGATCTGCCTGCATTAAGGCTCATCTCATTTTTAGATGGGCTGTCAACCTAAACGTTTCATTTTCAATGGAAATTATGTTGAACCATAAAATGGTCTGATTTTTGACTTTCCCCTTACTTGTGTAGTCTGAATTACTTAAGGACACCTATCACCTGTCCTTTGTATAGGGGTGCTGGATTAGTAAATTGAGCTGTGAGTACGCTCTACCCCCTAAGCGAAAAACGGCTGAGTCTGCTCCTAAACTGCTTTCATGTACACCATGTCCTAGAAACTTATTTTGCAGGTACAATTGCCTTCATTGTCCATCATAATTGGGATGAAACACACTTGTCCCTGACTAGATTTCCCACTGTGAAGCAAGTGTTGCTCGTCACTGTCACTATTAATAATGTAGTAAGCTCCATAGTAGGTTTTTCATGTATGGTTAAGAGTATAATTTTCTAGGTTCCAAGGTTCAGAAGTTAGGGCTTACTTTCTTCCCCTCTTAGCTGTATTTGTCATTTATCCTTCCAGGGTTTGGTTTTTTTTTTCCCTGTAGATCAAATTCTTTTTGAACCATAGGTTTTCTTAATTTGAACCTTTTAAGTACTATATTGTAAACAACAAAAAATCCATGTTTTTGCTTAGATATTAAAGGTGCTCTGTCTCTTAAAGTAGCATATGTGGTATTCCCCTAAATATTAGTGTTTCTACTACAGAAGGCATTGTTTTTAGCCACATTAAAAGGTTTCTCTTCCCAGTTTTTTGGGGGGGTGTTGTTCGTTTGTTTGTTTTGGGGGTTTTTTTGGGGTTTTTTTTTTGCTAGATTCACCAAGAATTCAGAACCCAGGAGTGCTACCATATTTCATTTTTTCTTGGCTTGCATCTAGAGCTCTGCCAAGATATGTTCCAGTCTAGAACTTGCATGCTTTCTTTGGAAGAAAGCGAATTCTAAGATTTCAGGAAGTTAATATTGTGCCTTAACGGATTTCTTTACCATTCTGCAGTAGAACTGTTTTCAGTTTAAATAGCTTGAAAATTTCAACTCTAAAATCTATACGAAGTGAAACTGAAAACAACAGGGTTATAAGGTATAACATGACATGTAGTGTTTCTGAGAGGCTTGGTATCAATTTCATATATGCCATTCCATTGTAAATAAAATTTTATCTTAAGTATGTGCATTTCTTTAAAACAGTTAACTCCAGAACATTTTCAAGTGTTGCTTAAAATTACCTTTGAGTAGTGAGTATGTGAAATAGATTCAATACGTGTATTCAGGCCTTTCTTTTTAAATTAGACTTGTGTAACATTTTGACTGCTAGTTAAATCACAACAGAAAGTTAATGTTCTTTCCATATACTCCTTGGTTATGATGGGTCAACTATATGTGTACTTGAGGTCTGCTCTATTTTCTTCCTGGAGATTAGTACTTCTGTTAAACTCTGAAATTACCAGCAATGAGATGTATGCATACTTATGCTCAGCTACTGAGTCACATGTTCTCTGTTAAAAAACTGTCATTTTCCACCACCCTAACCCTTTCAAATTACGAATTCTAAAATTTATGTCAGTATTTGATACAAACAAGAAAAAAAATTACAGCATAAATCACATAATAGTTGTCCTTCACTTCTCTCAAGAACTGTCTTCCTAGTCATCTTCCTACGTTGGAGTAAAACAATGCAGGAGCTATGTATAATGAGGAGGTTGAAAAGAGAAAAGGCTGTTGAGGAGGACAACTTGTATCCAGCAGTAGTGATGAGGTTCTGGATTAGTTTCACACGTTTAGCTTAGTTGTAAAGCATCAAAAAACTGTGCTGCTGTTGAGTGCATAATTAATTGTTCAATAATGAATAACTGATTATGCACTCATCTTGGTCCCTTACAGTCAGCTACTGAGAAACTGTTGCTAACAAATGACTGCTAAAGTCATCACAGTTAAATCATAACTACTGTTTCAAAAATCAGAATATACGAGAGGCTATAAAAACCTGATTCTGCTGGCATAAAGTAATGCCATTGCCTTTTCAATGAATAGACTGAAGGGTTAGAAAAAAGTGCTTGTTACTGTTAAATCAACCAAAGTAAAGAAATATAGCATGATAAGACTTCACAAAATTCACTGTATTCTGTATCTCTGTGTTTGTAGCCTCTGACACAGAATCATGGAACGGTTTGGGTTGGAAGAGACCTTAAAGACCATCTAGTTCCAACCCCCCTGCCATGGGCAGGGACACCCTCCACTAGACCAGGTTGCTCATTCATGACTTCATATGCAATCCTGTTCCAATAATTGGCCACCAAAAAAAAAAATCTATTTACTTTTCATTTACTGGTTGAACAAACAGTAATTTTGGCTGGATTTTACCTCCCATTTTTAGTGTTACTAATAGTTACTAACTTCAGGGGTTTTTTCTGTCTCAAAGTAGTCACAAACATGTACAGACATTCTACCACATGATTAAAAAAAATGGAATTTGAGCTTAGTGATAGATTCTGGTCAGCTGGAGACCAGACCAGCCTTGCTACCTATAGTTTAACATACATATTGATTGTAGCAATTCATGCTTCTGTAAGAAAGTCAAACGAAACATGAACCGTAGGAAAGTCTCTGCATAGCAGCATGTAAAAATTCACTTGGAAAACAGGAGTTGTTCAGATAATTCTAACTTCTGTCACCTTATAGCTTGTTTGTCATAGGCAATATAGTTTCAGTGTGAGCTGTTAATAAAGATTCATCAGACATGCTGCTTCTCCGCTTTCTCATTGAACTAATACAAGCCTGAAGAAATAGAATAAAGCAGTCATGCTGCACGCTATACTGAAAAACATAAGAAAATGTGTTATTGTGCCTTTCAGATTACATTTGATATTTTTTTTTCTTTAACCTTTTAGCAAAAACTGATAAAACTTAGGCAGTGAAAGAGAGATCTAATTGCCTCTCTGAAGTACTCTGTAGTTGAATTAGTGCTCTGGTAAAGCCTCGTCCCTCTCAAGAGTTTCATGTATGGAAGATTGGTACACTTTTCAGTTTCAAATTGCAGCTTACCGTATGTATTTTGTTAATTTGGAGGTTTGCTAATAATGACAAGAGGATGGTTGCTTCTAGTCTGCAGGTTCCCCCGTCACCCTGTATTACTCAGCATTTTTATTTCCTTAATAATTAACTACAGTATAATGCAGTGAACTTAAATCACTCTTAAATGCTTAAAGAAGGTGACATTCTTCTGAAAATAGCTGCCTCCTTTAAATGTTTTCGTCTTTAGATGGAAATGCTCACATATTTGACTAGATTGCCCATTATGTCTTCTTGAATGCAGGTTAGGTTTTTGGGGTTTTTTTATATAGGTTTAAAACAGAACATTTTCAGCTACGTTGTAAATGTGTTCTGGGGATGCCCCTTTTTGTAAAGTTAAGAAAACATGTGTTTATCATACCAGGCAAGACATTTCAGTAATATATGGTTCTCTTCTTTTTCAGATCTGGTTTGCGTTTGTCAATGGCTTTTCTGGACAAATTCTTTTTGAAAGATGGTGTATAGGTCTTTACAATGTGGTAAGATGATGTCTGTGTTTTCAGTTATTTTCAACCGTAAGCATGGAAGTTTCTTGAGTAAGCAACCTTTCAGCAAGTCCTTACCTCTGATTTTTTTTTTTTTTTTTTTTGTTAATCCACCCACTAGATGTTTACAGCCATGCCCCCACTAACCCTTGGAATATTTGAGAGATCGTGCCGAAAAGAAAACATGCTGAAATACCCCGAGTTGTACAAGACTTCCCAAAATGCGCTGAACTTCAATACTAAGGTAGATTTTTTAAAATCAGATATAATGAAAGCAGAAATTAATAGTACTTCAGTACAGCTACCCTTTTTGTTCTATGCTGCTGATAGTTAAAAATGGAGGGGGTTTTTATTAGTACTAATTCCAGTTTTCCAGTTGTCTGTTAATAGTGCAAATCCTATTCCTCCGGTTTTGTAAACTGCAGAAATGGACAGAAAGTACTTTATGTTTTTTCAGCCCTGATTTTTCTTTTCTTCTTCTGCTGGTAATAAAGCTGTCTTCTACAGGCAGAAGTGACTAGACCTCTCTGTCGTTGGGCTGTATGTATTTGTACTGTTATATGGGAATGGATTACTGAAGCCTGTGGAGAAGCGTTGCAGAGGACAATAAGAACTGTCATTAGATTTGTAGAGGGAGGGACGTGATACTATTCTTTGTCAATTTGGAATTGTGATTTTATGGTTTAATTTTGAGTTTTGGGAAAAAAATACTTGGAGTCAGTTAAGAATGTGTCAGGGTGTCAGAAGGAATCTGAGGCTACTTTTGGTGGTAAATGGGTGACATTCATCTTGGATTGCCTCACACAAGTAGTAGTAAAAGAATGTAGGACTCTTAATGTATAAAATATGCACAATTTCTACAGTTTTGTCCATAAATAATCTCCTTTACAAACTAAATTAAACTTGTTCCTGAATCTGCATTTTCATCCCGTGATATTTGTAAGAGTTCCTTCTGGTTTTATTTTATTTTTCTAAATTTCTATAATTGGGACATTTCAAGTAATGTCATTGTATGCCGAAATTTTCAATCTGTCATTGAATTTACATGCGATCTGTAGTAGATGTGTGGAGCTGATACAGCATACTTAGCTCTCCTATCTGTGCCACTTGTGCTGTAAAACTGCAGTACCCCTCTCTATAAGGAATAATTTGGCTGAACTATCTTGGTTCGCTGAAGCATTTGAGATTTTTCTCCTTCACTTCATCCTTTCACCTACAAAAACAAACCTCAAAATTGTATGGAAACTGGGGAAAAAACTTTCTTGTATCACTGAATGCTTTACAAATTATCAGACTTTTCTCGCTCCTTTAATACAGACGCTTTTGTGTTGTGATAGTTGTAATAAATAATGTAAGTCATGAGTTACATGTGCTGGATTTTTCTGTTTTTAAATAAGCCTGTAATACTTTTATTATTGCACAGATGTATTGTTGACTTCATTGGAAATTCTGCAGCTATTCCCATGCAACACTTGCTATGAGTAAACATTTTCAAACTTCCCAGCTACAAAATTCCCACCTATAAGAGTTGAATAGTTGTTGTTAAAGATTTGGAAACATTACTGCCTTGAATGTTGATGCAGATGTTTGTTATGGTAAAAGGGATCAAAGGTTAGGAGGTCATGACAGAGGTTAAAGGATTAGCATGTGACAATAAGAATTGGTCAGGAAAATGGAAAAGTAGAACTAATTTTTCTTGCACCCACCTGTGCTTTCTGTCAAATAAAAACTTCTAGTAATGACATAGCAAGAAGGAGAGACAAAGGTTAATGAGTAGCACAAGTTCAAATGTGCGAAGTATTGGAGTGTAAATTGGATCATCCAACCTAGTGTAGTTGTATAATCTAACAAAAGACTTTTAAGACATTGTGGAAAATGTTGTGAGGCAGGCAACTTTATTTCAATTGTTTGAACACCTTAACACTCATAATACACATCAGTTAGTTACAATAAAGACTATGATAGTCAAAGGTGGTGTTAATGAAAAAGCGTGATTGCTATATTGAAGGAAATGGGTTACATATTTTTGATTAAGTTTTTTTTATGTCTTCATACAATATATTACGGAAGGCATCAATAGGTTGTTTATTCTTAATACAATTCTTTGCAGAAGGCATATTTTACAACTGACAATAAGCTTGAAAGTAAAATTTGAATTATTTAGCAAATACATTAAAGGAAGTTTAATATGATGAAGCTGTGCCCTTCAAGAATGGAGCATGTAACAAGAAATCTAAGGAAGATACTTTGTATGTGTAGGTATATGTAAAACTCAGGTTTTGATTAATCTACGATCCAAATTTATTACACAAAATGTAAATTGTAAAAGCCAGAGTCCTTTTTAATTCCATACTTAAAATGTACAATTGTTCCAGTTGTCTGGTTTAGTTTAATTTTTCTGATGATATTCCCATGTGTATACGTTTTAATTTCCCTTCTGATTTGAAATTAAAAGGAGGACATAATACACACTTTTTTCAAAACATAAAAATAAACAAATGACCCATGAAGAGCTACGAGGCAGAAAGTGCCTGTCAGTTATATTACTTCACAGTGGTGGCCTGACAGAAACACATTTTGTGAATCTAACACACAGATAAAAAGAAAGGTCAGGGTTCACAGAGCTAGTTTTTTGCAAATGGTTCTCATGGATTTTTTTGTTTTCCCTTAGGTTTTCTGGGTTCATTGTTTAAATGGCCTCTTCCACTCATTCATTCTGTTTTGGTTTCCCCTAAAAGCCCTCCAGCATGGTAAGTATTATGAAAATTAAAATATAAATGTTGAAAAGTACAAAATATCTAAATACTTTCTCATTTTCTTAGGAAAGCTTTATAAATGCTAACAGCTTAAATGCTTAAATTTCAAGATGCCATTACTAGAACAGAGGCAGTATATTTAAAATGTTCTCTTTAAAATCTATTTATAAGTGGGTATAATATTATGTACTTAATATATTCAACTCTATAAATAGTAAACTGAAACAAGATGGGGAAAAAGAGATTGTTATTTAATTATGCTATTTTTTAATATAATAGGCTACCATGATAAATACCTACAAGATCCTAAATCACTACTGTCCCATGCATTGTCTCTTAGGTTTTGTAAACTTCTATTGCTGATGTGTATTCCTTCTCTCCTGTCCCTTCAAGGGCATAGTAACCCATCAACTTATGAGTAGGCTTGTGACAGGAAACTGGGACATCTCGGACAGCTCGGTCCTGTCACTCCTCTAGCTCAACACCTGAGCTGCAGAAGGAAACAGGGTGGTTGGGAGGAAAGCTGTGTTAATTAGGTGTCAGGAAGATGGGGCCAGGCTCTTCTCAGTGGTGTCCAGTGACAGACTAGGGGCAGTGGCCATAAACTGGAAAACAGAAGGTTCAACCTGACCATGAGGAACCCTTCTTCACTGTGAGGTGACAGAGCAGGGGGACAGGCTGCCCAGAGAGGTGGTGGAGGCTCCTTCTCTGGAGACTTTCCAAAGCCTCCTGGACTTGTTCCTGTGTGATCTACTCCAGGTGATCCTGCTCTGGTAGGGGGGTTGGACTGGATGATCTCTAGAGGTCCCTTCCAACCCCTTCCACTCGGTGAATCTGAATCTGTGAATCTGAGAATCTGAAATCCAAACCAGAATCCATGTTCAAAGCTGTAGCCAATCCGGGTGAGAGATTTATGCATTCCATGAGGGAGAAGTGTTTAATGAATATTCGCAGTGATGCAGAATGGAGTTGATGTGTGCATGGCAAAGCTCAGATAATTGCACAAGCACTGGTGAGAGCACTGTAGTGCAGGCCTCCTCTGCTCACAGCCCCTGGGCTAGAACTGACCTGCTGGCAAGTGGCCTCTACAAGTCTGAAGAAATTGCCTTCTGTCTTCCTCTTTCATTCCTAGAGAAAGGCTGGGTGAGTAAGGGGAGCAGGATTGGGACATGAGGATTGTGTACACGGTGGGCAGTATAACCAGTACCTGCTGTGGGGCTGGGTGGTGCACATGAAAGGGAAACGAGTGCAGGATGGAAGCTGCTGTTAATTAAATCTCTGATCTCTGTGTATGTAAAGAGGGAAGGGAAATAATGCAATTAGTTTCCCAGGGAGGAGCTGATGAATGCCAGAGAGATTCATCGTAGAGGAAGTTCTGAGAACAGGTCTCAGCCTTCACCTTCTCTTAGCAAAGAAGAGGTGCAGGGGTCTCCTGAGATATGAAGGGAGAAATGGGAAGAATGAGGGATAGCTCAGCTTTATGCATATGAGTGCTGAGTCCCAGCACTCTGACTGATGGGAACAGACAGCTGCCTGTCTGTTCCCCTGTCTTACCCTTATTATGATCTTTACTGCTAGCCATATAGTGTAAAGCAGTACAGTGCATTTTTGAGCAGATTAGAACGCTGAAAATCAGATTCTGAAGATCATGAAGCTCAGAAGTCACTCTGTCCATTTCTTTGAGCTTTTTCTCCCATTTACTCTTTCGTCTCACGTCTACCTCTTTCTTGTCTGTAAGTGGAAAATTCCAACTGCATGTGTTGTAGTTGAGTCTACCAAGAAATATGCAGAGAATAGGTACGGATTTGTAAGAATTGTGTGTTAGAATTTGCTCCATGGGACCTGACCATTGTACAGTGCACAAAACTAGAGTCTTCGCACTCCGTGTAGTGTCATGTGGATATGAAAAGTGACAAGGACCTCAGTCTTCACAGAAGCTTCTTCTGATGCAGCTCTGTCAACATAACAGTAAATGGCAGAAGCCAAACTTACGTGTAAAAGTAAATCCACCACCTGCTTTCTCTTTTGTGTAACCTTTAAAATGAGCCATGGCCTCAGCTTTGTCTTCAGGCTTCCAGAGCTCTTGTAGTCCTTCGTGGTCTGCTGGTCTGTCCAGGGAGAAAGTTAAATCAGGGAAGTGCCAGGAATACAACCAATATCACTAGAGCTTAAGGAGGCAGCCATTGAGAACTCTTTGTCTTGGAATGGGAGAGGGCTAGGTTAAGGAGGACTATTTGCAAGCATTTTTATTCTAATTTTTTTGTGTGAACTTAAACTTGCTGTCTCTTCCAGAATATCAATAAATAGATCTTTTTTTCTGTGATAAACTGGCCTCACACGTCCTGAAAAGCTTTTAGAAAGGAGCACTCTTCATCCGCAACTAAAATGAATTTCATTTCAAGCACATGTAAAGGTGATAGGAAGGCTGGAAAAACACTCAACACAAATGGGAAAACATGCTTCATTAGCAACATTTAATATATTGTATGCTAGCTGAGGATAGCAGAAAAATAAGTGTTTTCAACTGCAGATCATTTTTACCAGCTTGTCACCTTCCTCTGGCCAGCTCAATCAGAGAAGTTTTAAACCCATCCCTGCCCCATCCAACCCCCAGAAAAAAACCCAGAGCACCTTTATTCTTCTCTTTCCCAAAACACAACTTTTTAAAACATCCTTCATTACGGTCTCAGCATAGTGGATTTTCTTTTTTCTTTGTTTTCCTCTTGTACTCTTATCCTTCCTTACTACATGCACAATATTTTGGTATCACTTTATATGGTGGCAGTAAAAAGGAATATCCCGGTGATTAGAACCTCTGCAGCAGAGTAAGGTTGAGTTGCAGTATATGAACAATCTCAACTCCTAAAACTAAACTGACCATGTAAAAAATTTATCAAGCTCAGTACTTCTAATTGGGAATGAAAAATTGCCTCTGGATACTCCAGTTGTGTATTGTCCCATGCCTGCCAAGAACTTTCACAGAACTGGGGTCAGAAAAGTCCATGCTCCGGTAGTAGTCATAAAATAAGCTGTGTTAAATAAGTATAAATGTACTGTGTCAGAATTCTGAACTTAAGAACCACAGTAGATGTAATTTTTATGCAAACACATCTCTTTAGGGCGCTGACTCTTTGCATAAATGCGGTGTGTGTATCCATATGTGCAAAATGGATATGTATTTATATGAATCCACAGATTTGAGTTGGGTAAATGCTGAAAACACTAGAATAAGAACCATCTCAAGCATTTCAACAAGAATAATTAAAATTGAGTGTATTTTATATTTTTACTTGAACTGAATCTCAGAAATAAGGATAAAAGCAAAGGTAATTTCTATATCAAAAAATACTCAGTGAAAATCTGACTTTTAAGCTTTCTGTTTAGTTATATGTTACAATAAATGTACACTATGGCTATTGTATTTCATATTTTTCTGAAGGTAAGATACTATATCTCTGATCTTAAAAGTCCCTCTAATTGAATTATTACTGATATTGGTGTATGATGTTACAAAGAGCTCCTCTTCCTAGTGTCACTCCTGGAGTCACTGAAAGTTTTAAGGACTAAAAATTATGCAGGTCATGGATCTCAACTGTTCAATACAGTTCAAGGTGAAATCTGCTGTTGGTACCCTGTAGGAAATGCTGCTGTCTCTTTTGTACCAAAAATAAAATATTTTGTGTGTGCATATATAAATATACGCCCATAGTGTTATTGTGGATATTATTTTCATCGCTATTTCCTTCTCCAGGTACTGTATTTGGCAATGGTAAAACTTCAGATTATCTGCTCCTGGGGAACACTGTATACACTGTAAGTCTTCCTACAGCTGTCTGGTGCTCTATCAGTTGACTACATTGTCTCTCTCTTTAACTCTTAGAGATGTGGGTTTATTATTATTTATAATTGTCTGCATAGAAGACTTTATTCATTGTAGTGCCTTAAGAATAAGAAGTGTCTCTTGAATGACTCTTTGAGAAGCTTTGAAGTACATTTTGCATTTTAATTCCTGTTTTTAAAACAAAGCAGCTTATTAAAGATGTGGAAGATACATCTGTCCTTTACTGGAAACTTTTTTTTAATAATGGGAATGGTAATTTCCTAATTAGCATGCTCATTAATTTAGGGTACATCTCTGCATTGGAGAAATCCCAAGTTATATTATATGGAACTAGTTTGTGGAATTTGAAAGGTACAGGTCTGTTCTCACTTTCTCAATTTATCATGGGGCCTTGGAAGAGGGATAGTGTTACATGGAACCAAGGCTTGTAGAATTCCTCTTTGGAGAAAACCAAACTGCCAGAATTACACCTGACCCACACATAACAGTAATCTTCTGTTACTCTCATAGATATTAGTCATATTTGTGGGGTTTTCTTTTCCTTTTAATGTTTTCTCTCCTAGAATGAATTAATGAAGCTAAATATCTGGTTTTCAATTGCTAGGTATCACTGTTACTCAATAGATGAGTTTTTTCCAAGATCTCTCTTAGAAGCAAAATTAAACTTGTGCTTATTCTCCTCTGTTCTTCAACACTGAGTAGAATTTTTCAACTTCGTGTTTGCAGATTTTAAAAAAAAAAGAAATTAATTAACCCATCAAAATAAGGGGGCTGTAATACAAACACGAATTCCCATCAAAATTTCCTTAGGAAATGGGGAAACATCAGAACTGAAATGAAAGGACAGTATTCTAGAACACACTGTAGTTCTTTGAGAATGTAGCTACTGTCAACATCACTTATGTTTGAGAGAATACTCTGAATAGTGTTTTCTGATCAGCTGACTAGAAAGCTGAAAGAGCACAAAGGGCCAAGTAACCACATCCCATTCTGTGTATTTCCTACTGCTGTGGCAGTTAAAATGTTTCTTCTGCCGGTCAGTACATGGCATTTAAACTGGTGTTTTCAGGCACATTGAAAGATTGTTTAAAAGTTTATATGCTCTGCACTTCCCTTTCCTGTTCCGAAAGGCAAACACAGCGTGTTTTGCCAGCAGTAGTCACATATGATCGTGTAATCTATCATATGATGAACTGATCTCTATTAGGGATGGATTGAATATCCTGGGTAAGTGTTTTCCGTGCAAGTCTTAAAAAAATTAAGATGTAAGGTCACAGTCATTGTCATAGCTCAATCCTGACAGAAGTAGTTCAACTGACACGGGTCTATTTGTATTACGATCTCATAACATGGAGCAGTGTTTAGAAGTCAGTCATTTATCTGAATGTCGCTGCTTTCCCCAACATTGATAAATACTGCCTAAGTGTGTCTACCAGAATCACCTGTTGTTCTAAGTGAAACAGGTTCGTCTTGGGGAGAGCTTCTCTGCACCAGGTTTTCACCCCATCTACAAATGTTTTGTTGTTTACTGGACTTAGAAGTTGCGACCCTGCTCAGTTCAGAAGTTTATTTCAGTAGTGGTATGTATGTGGACATGAGTCGTATAACTTCACCTAAGTGAAGCCAGGTTTTCTGATAGCACCTCCTTTTCCTTGATTGCTCTAAAGTTATCCTTTGTACCGGCCATCATTTTGCAGAGTTGGGTGAGCACTCTAGACTTGTTAAACCCAATTATTCACCGTACTGTTAACAGTCACAGCTGAAGTTCTTTCCTGAACTTCAGAACTTCATCCTACCCAGTCACCCAGCTCTGCATCTTTCCGAAAGCCAACTTCAGCACCAGGAGAAAACAAGTTCAATGTGCTGTACTAAGAGTTTACTGGATTGCACTAGGTCCTGTGGAGCTGAGTGTTCAAAAAATGCTGCTGTTTAGGTTGTTGCCCATCAGTTGATGGGTAAGTCTTGAAGTCTTACAGCACTGCAGAACATCTGAGTATCATTCATTACGTCACCTGACGCACAAATATTGAAACCTGCATTTTCAGATTTGTAGCAAGTTTTTCCACCACCTTCAGAAATTAGTTAATTTCTGATACTGTCAGTATAGTAACCTGAGCTACGGTCAAGCTGTATGCATAAATGCTAAAACAGAGGTCACAGTGCAATTATTCTGTCACCTGCAACTGGTTTTTAACTAGAAGAGCTGAAACTTCACCATCTTGAGAGGCTAATTGCTTGCTACTAACCTGAAGAATGGTCAAGAATTTCCCAGGAAAACTTGAAAATGGTATAAGTCCAGACAAACTGCTTATTGAGTTGTGAGGTCTAAGGTACTTCTCATTCTTCCCACTGCTTTTAATCTGGTTTTAGGAAGTCCACGTTCATCACTTGTGCAAAAATCAGTAGCAAAGGAATACAGAAGTTATTATGTTTCCTTTGGATACACAGAGTCAGGAATGTACACCAATCCGTATCGTGTCCTGGAAATTATTTTTTCAAACATAAATTTCACACAGGAGTGGAGTGCCATCAAGCCATTCTTGAGAGGTCCTTTTAAAAAAGTTCAGTGCTTCATACAGAATACCGGTTTGATTTCTCGTTTCCTGGGTGGGATTCAGTGTGCTATTGGTAGGTTGGATCAAGAGGAGGAGGGAGCAAGAAAACCAACATTCTTGAGGAAGCAGCTGTGTGTAGTTGGTAACATTGTTAGGGCTATCAGTTAAGATGCAAGGAGGTTATATATTCACAGCGTATGTCTTCTCTACAGAGACCTACAATGGGGTTTTTGTGGACACGTTTTTTCTACGCAGTGAGAATTCTTGATCTGATCCTAAAGAAGGATGTTTTCTTTTCTTACGACTGACTCCAAAGTAGGAAGCAAGTGTACCAGATGAGGGGATTTTTTTTTTTCCATAATTGTTTTTTTCACTCATCCATATAGCACCAGAACTGGATAGACTAAGTAAATTAGAACACTCACCATGGTCCTTAATTTCATTCTAATTAGATTTCATACATGCTTTGTGTAATGGAATTGTGGCACTGTGATTTTGTTTGTTTGTTTGTTTGTTTTCTCCTTGCCAATGCAGCAGTAGTTGAAATAGGAGATTCCAGAATTAAAAGCATAAGCTTACAGCTAGGGTGAAAGCTTTCTGGCAGGATTTGTATCCTTCTGTGCACCAGACACCGCGAAAGACTTGTCATATATATTTATCCAGTTATTTTCAGCTTCTGATTGAAGTAAACGTCTTCTGAATTTCTGAGGCTTCTTGGACTTCAACCACAGACAAACTCATGTCACTGCTGCCAACAAACTAGAGTTTAAACTATAGCTGTTTCAGTTAGAGCTTGGTCTTTGTGACTCAGGTTTTCAGCTTCATGTTCTTCAGATTGCACATAAAGCAAAACTTGTGACACATTATACATGAGTTACAAAATGCAATAACTATTTATTTTCACAAAAGAAAACTTGCTTATGTAAATTTCAAAGGAAGGAGATAAACAATTTTCCTGAATCAGTCATTGCTGTGGACTTTCTACTACTGCTTATCTCTAAACTTAAAATGGAGCATGTCCTGCAGGACAGTAAGATGTTGTTTTCAGAGACTGCTCCGTAGAAAGAGTAAAGGGAAGGAAAGTAAAGGTGAGAGGGAAGAATGGAAATGTCATAACAGACTCACTGAACATGCTATTTGTATGCAGAACTACATCTTAGGCTGCCAAAATCTAGCTCTTTGGCTTTTCAGGGATTGGCAAAGATGACTTATTTCCTAATGAACCACTGATTAAATGTAAAAAATGTTTTGTTTCATTTTTTTAATTTAGACTAATTGAGCTTGAACAAATGCAAGTTTTCAGCCCAGTATGTAGATCTTCTAAGTCTGTCTTTGTGTAGAAAGCAGTAGTCATCCTCCACATAACTAGGGGGTCTGCCACCTCTACTGAATGGAGTAGGAACCTTTCTGTGTAACCAAAATACCATCAATAAGTCACTCACAACTCAGGAGGAGCCAGACGTACAGAGTTCCAGAAGGCAAAGGATATCCTCAGGATTTCTAATTGTTCTGGTTTAAATCACAACACTAATACAAAAGAAGAGTTTTCTAAAGGAGATGAGTGATGATGACTAATGGAAGCTAATTGTTCTTAGTGTTCTATTACTAGCTCATTACTTGGGGGGTTTTTTAAATCTTCTAGTGGCATTTTACTGTGGTCATTTTAAATGGGCACTTGAACTTTAGATTAAAGCTCAGACACTTAAAAAAAAGAGGAAAAATACAGGTAGCTGTGGTCTACAAAAATTTCACATTGGGACTGCTGAGAGCCCTGCATTTTTTTGGGGAGCAGATTCTGTTTAAATTGGAAGAGCTATTCCATGGCTTCTGCAAGTCCATAGAAATTATTGCCTTTTGCTTTTTGAACTTTGGGTTTGGATGCTATTACACAGCTAGGGGCACTAACATATACCGTATGTGGTTGAATATTAAGAAAATCACATTTAAATTGAAGGGACTGAGTATCCTTATTTCATTTATGCAAGTAAACATGAAGTATGAAAATCATTACACTTTTTCTTCTGTCCTCCTGAAAGTTTAACCAAACTAATAAACTCTGTATCTGAAGTAACATTCCCATATTAAATAAGAATCCTCTCTCTCTTTTAAGTTTGTGGTTCTAACTGTGTGTTTGAAGGCTGGATTAGAGACCTCATATTGGACTTTGGTAAGTAAATGTCTTTACTGTATTCTCAAATGTTCTATAAAATATGATGGATGAATAATTGTATTCTTACTATTAATTATATTATGACCCTACAGTTTGTCAGCACTTCCCACGGTATCAAACAAAACGGTGGTTAGTGCATGGAAAGATAGAATGTCCACATACAAAAAATAATGCTTAATATTGAAAAGAAGGACGTTAAGGATTACTTTAAACCTTATCCCAAACAAGAAAAATCAAATTACTCTGAAATGATTGTAACTGAATTTCATTGGCTTAAAGTGCAGTAATATTGCTGCTGAAAGTATAGTTTTGCTTTAAGAAATAGCAAACTGAAGTAATAGGGTTAAATTGATACAAGGCATAGAAATTTCATCCAGTGTATCAAAATCACATTGTAAATACTAAGTAGCAAAGATTGGGTTCATGTCATAATGCATCTGTGATCATTGTTCTGCTTTCTCTTTTTGTTTATTTAACAGTTCAGCCATATAGCAATCTGGGGCAGCATAGCACTTTGGGTAGTGTTTTTCGGAATCTACTCTTCTTTGTGGCCGGTCATTCCTATGGCACCTGATATGTCAGGAGAGGTAAAAGTATATTTTAGCTAACATCCCAATGTGTGCAAAAAATATTGTTTCAGTCTTTAGTACAGGCCTAATCTTTCTTGGATCCTTCAGCTAACTAGATGTTGATAAGAGGGTTGCTTCTTTTATAACTTCAGTGTGGTAGCTGTGTTTATTTAAAATAGAATGAATTTGTGCTCGTGAAAATAGAGCTCAACTAACAGGCTGTGATTATAGGGTCTAGTGAAGAAGACTAGGCAGGTAAGCTACTTTGCAGTTCTTTAGTAAACTTTAATTTTGTAAAGAGAAGTCTTACCAAATGCAGAACTCATAATTACAGTGTGTGTTGGGCTGGAGGGTTTTTTTAGACAGCACAAGTGGCACATTGGTTAAGGCTGCTTTTTCATCTTCAATTTTGCAAATTTGCTAATTATTTGAAATTCTAAAATGCCTCAGAAAATTTGAGGTGCCATAACATTGCATGAGCAGCTGCTTGTCGTGCACATATTTCCTTTTCTATTAATGTGCTGCTTGGAATGCATTATTGTATTGTATCTTTAACCTTTTGACAGTAATTACTGGTTTCTCTTTCATTTATTAACCCATTTGTGTAAACTTGCTCTGAATATTGCAAAGAAGACTGAATCCATAAAATATATTTAATTGCTGTCTGTGGTGATCTAATTGGGACTTTGGTCCGAAATTCTCCAAACCATTCAGTTCCAGAAACATCTGAAGTTTAGTATTAGTTTCCCAGACACTGATGTCTGCTTCCAGGCCTGGCCAATCTTAGATTAGAACCAATCTTCTAATGGTTCTCAGAGCGTATCAACTAAATCAAGCCTTATACCGCTGAAAGAGTGAGTGCCTTTAAAGCCACCACTGTGACATCATTCAGCAATTTAAACATTTAATGCAGGATGTGGGAAATTTAGGTGCGTATCTCTCCCTCGCTGGAAGGTAATTCAGACCCACAAATCCCACCTTCTTCATAAGCAGTTATGGGAAAAAATAGTATATAGGCATTTATATAACTCCTGAATTTTAACGGAAAGCACAAGAAATTAACTTAAGTACTTTGGACCCCTAAGGAAAAAAATAAATTATACAATTTCATGCTCTTTACTCTCTATTATAACCTTTTAGCCATATATATAGATTTTGTACATTACTATGTTGTTTCCACTCCTCAAAATTAATTATGTACATTGTTCTAAATTAATTGTACCTATCATATATCAGCATTTTTCTTCATATACACTGTCTATTACATAAGAAATAGAATGTGTTTGGAATTTGTTGTTATTAGAGGCTTTTGTAAAGACTATACATCAAGAAGAACTTTAATAGTAATAAGCACAGTGGGAGCAGCAGGGCGTGTTATACTTGGTATGATGTAAAGGTGGCTGCTTCACTCTCTAAAAAAGGAATATTTTACTTAGTATATGTTCAGTCTGAAGTTATTGTGAGAAAAAGATGGTTTTGAAGGGAATGTAATTACTACAAACTTGGAAAAACAGTTCTTTGTAAAGAGATGTAGTTGTCAACAAAAATAAATACTCTTGGGGTTTGAATTCGGTATGACACCAAAGTAGTCGGACTTATGAACCCAAATTTGCTTATTTGTTATGATAAAACTGTACTTGAAATGGGTAGTCTTATTTTGTTAGTGTGTTTGCTCTTGGATGTATGTGTATATAGTAGCTTTTGATGCGTGTATGTGCATGCAGTTGTTTGGGGGATGTTGTTGGGTGAGGTTGGTTTTGCTTCCTTTCTTTCTAAGAATGTAGTTAGAAGTCTGTAACATCAGAACAAAGTCTCCTAAACATCTCATAGACCATAAGAGCTTATTTTAAAAGCTCTGGTCTAGCTTTTTGAGCTGTACTGTGTGTGGCTAAAAGTCCCATCGACAAATACTGAGCTGAGATTGGAAGCAGGATTTTTGTGTGCTCTCCTGGAAGCCCCCTCACTGACCGGGTGGTCTCTGGCAGGGCAGAATTCACTGGGTTTCTCTGAAGCAAGTCCAGGCCTTATGGAAACTAAGAGATTCACAGATTTAACTGTGGAAAAGATTGTGGTATGATAGAAACAAATCCCTATGGACATCTCTCCTTGCCTGTGCAAATACTGTTTGTCTAATTTCTTCAAATGTGCAAGTCAGACTTGAAGACTTCATCCAAGTACGTTTGGCAGAAATTAAATGAACAAGTCAAAAGCCATCCTCTACTTCTGTAGCTTTTTGTCTGTTTTGCCTTGGCTGGCACTGATAAATTATGGTGAAAGGGATTTTCAGGGGTTGGGGAGGGGGGGTGTTCACAAATGTGTTTAATGAAAAATGCCCATTATAGTAAACCATAGATTTATGGAGATTTTACCAACTATAATCATTATAAATTTTAAATTTATTCTCTTTCAGCTCCTTAGAGCTGGTAACAAAGAGTTCTACCTCAGTATGTTTTTTAGACTTATCAGTCAGTATTCTTGATACAATATTCATCCAACCATTCAGTTCCAACTAGATGATGATATCTGTCTTCCATCTTTTTCATGGCTTCTCTTAGACAGCAGAGATTCTACTGAAACACTCTAATAAGGATTCAGTCCAATTTCTTCATATTAATATTATGAAAATAGTAAGATTCTTGCTGCTTACTGCTGGTTCTATTCCAAGAAAAAATATAATTATGTTCTTGAAGGGGAGAGAAAAAGCATATGGAGCTGATGGAAAACTCATTGGATGCAGAGGAAAGGTTTCATCTAAATATTTTGAAACTTGGATTTTTCATCTATTCCTATAAAATATCTATGCAGTTCTGATGAATGTTTTTAAATGGAGAGCACTACAAGATAATGCCTCCAAGAGTTGTAGTAGAAGAAACAAGTGTGCATATGCTGCAGAAACACTCATGCTGGAGCACAGAAGCAGCCCGAAGTTAAATCATATGAATCGTTTTGTTCAGCTTTTAGTATCAAATCATCACTCAATAACTTAGTGAACAAAGAATGTTACATCTTTTTGCAAGTCTTCCCTACTTTCTAGACTAATTTTGTTTCCATCACTTAGTGTATCATTCCAGTGGGAGAGAAAATAATTAAAGTTGGCTTTTACATATGTGTTGCTGTATGTTAGTAGTGCAGAAGGAAAGATTGTAGGACGCTGTACTCTAAAAGAAAATATAGTGAAATGAAAATTATGTTTTTCTGGCAGAGTGCCAGCAGTTTTGTTTATTGTTTAGGTCACTACTCCCCCCTTCTTTGGCATATTCCTAATATCTCAATCGAATGTACTTTTCTTTCTCTCTCCTGCTCTGAATTCTGCCAAAAAAGCCAAACAAAGACCCCTTTGATCCAAAATGCCATGTTGATCTAGAATGCTGAGGCTGTTTTGGCATCAAGACCTTTATTTTCTGGTCTTTCAAGATTGCTACTCCCATGCTGGACCAACTCATCCCAACTGGACAGTCCTGTTCATCACAGTGTGGGAACTAGATGGCTCTCCATGTTGCAGTCCTATAAATAGCGATAAGTAGGTTACCAGATAAGTAGTGCACCGTAAGAGTGAAAGGTGGCTTCTGGCTTACATAAGCAGAGGCATCCTGGCACCAAGTGTTCTCCTGATAGGAATAACTTGGAGTTATGTAGCTGATAGCTGTTAGAGATTGATAACAGGCATCGGGGTTGTAGTAGCTGAAACACTTTTCTGTAGTAAAATTCTGACCAAAACCTTAGAATCAACATTCAAACAAGAAACCAGTTACATTTTGCAACCTTAAAACGGTTTCTATTCCAGTTTTTTTAAAAAAAAAAAAAGTCCGTAGTGAAGAAAACTTCATTCATTTTCCTTGATTGATGATGTTGAAATGAAAACTGTCAGTTCACCGTTGTCTTTCTGCAGACACAGCCTAGAAGGAAAAATGGTTTAAAAATGAGAGAAGCAATGGGATTTATGAAGCAGAAGAAAATGGAAAAATAGGCTGTAAAATTGAAGAATGTGATAAAAAAGGGGTGACAAACTAAGCAGTTAACTGTATAGCAACCATGTCTAGTTCAGGTACAGGAGCAGCTTACCTTTGTTACCAGTCTTTTACTAGTCTGAAGTGAGACTTACATGTTTTACCATTAATTAAGCTGTAGTTATTATTTGTTTTCATATTGTTTTTATTTGTACTTTCAACTCATTCATTTAAACATTTCTCTTGTTTATTTTAAGAATTAGGGACTATATTCTCCTAGTCTTAGACACATATCCTAAAATACTAGGAATTCAAGTTTTATCTGCTTACAGCAAATTCTTTCTACCAGGAGGATTTTGGTAATAGTAGCAAAACACAATTTCTGTTGGAGGAAACTTAATGCACAGTGTTTGAGAGAGAAATATGGAAAACTTTTCCAAAGATTTCAGTGGTTTTATAACAACTTTGCAGTCTCTGTAACGTAGTCTTTATTGCAGTACAACGTCTATCTGCAGAAATGTATGTTTCTGCATTTGTTCTCTGTCAGTACTGTCTGGTGGGGAAGCATCTGAAGAACAGTTTATTTTCTTAATATTTTACCTGTAAAGGTTGTGCTTTTAAGTATAGATGCACAAGAAAGGAAACAAAATAATAAAATATTTTAAAAACACCCTACTTTGTAGTTGTTTGGTGGTTAGATTTAACACCATTTGGGAGAAGTGACACAGGACACCTGGTTTTGATCCATTACATGAAACAAGCTCCATTTTATTTCAAAAAAGGTACCACTACAGACTAGAACAATGTTTTCATTGCAGACCTCAGTAAATCAGCTGCATGGATCTCTTTCTCTACTACATTGAGATAACTGAAGTTGATACTTTTATGCGTAACGTTAACAAACAAAGAACATGAAATATACTTTCAGTATTTTCTAAAACAAATTACAGTGTTTTCTTGGTTTAAATCACATGTACTTTTGCATAAATATCTGAAAGTAAATGCCAAGTCTCTTCCTATTTGATGAAGTATTTACTTTGTAAATGTAACATTTTTTTTGTTTGAGACTCT